AAGCCTAAAGTAACTTTCAAAATAAATTTCTTAACAATTTTCAAACATGGATACCAATGGCTGAATAGCATATAGAATATTATTTCCATAATTGGGTGATAATATAGTTTTTATGACTTATGTAAACTATATGAATGTGCGATCATGTCTAAAACTATGTGTATCTCTTCTGTCCAAAGATTTTATCACTTCCTAATGTAAATATGATTTTTTTGCTTTTAAAGAGAGAGTGAGAGAGAGGGAGAGAGAGAGAGAGAGAGAGAGAGAGAATTTTAATATTTATTTTTTTAGTATTTGGTGGACACAACATCTTTGTATGTGGTGCTGAGGATCGAACCCGGGCCGCACGCACGCTAGGCAAGTGCGCTACCGCTTGATCCACATCCCCAGCCCCATGATTTTTAATTTTATGTTTGCTTTAGATTTTATTTCAGTCAAATAAGAGTTACATATAAAGATGGTCTCACATGAAGCAGATTCACAACTTTATCATTGACCTACTATTTATTCTTTGAACTGTCTTCTATATATAAAGTACATCTAGATTGCCTTTCCTGAGAGTGCTTTTCTTTTCACTTTAATTAACATTGTTTACTGAATAACCCAAGGCTGGGACAATATGGTCTAACTGGCGATTTATTCACCAGTTTTCATTCAGCACTGAATACCTACCTACCTGGTAGGTATCCACAGACCCCCAAATCAGTATTCTTTGTTTAATTTTTTTGGTACTGGGGATTGAATCTAGGGGCACTTTGCCACTGAAACACACCCCCAGCCCTTTTGTTTATTTTTTAAAAAATTTTTAGACAGGATCTTGCTAAGTTGCTTAGGGCCTCACTAAGTTCCCAAGACTGGCCTTGAATGTAGGATCCTCCTGCCTCAGCCTCAACCTCCCAATGGTTGATGTATATTGTCATTATTAAGTTAAAGATGCAAAAGAGAATAGAATACATTTTAATTTAGAGAAGAGTACAATGGTCTCTTTTAAATTTAGATGTGCATAACTGTATGACACTTGCTGCCATAACATTCGATGGTACTTTATTTCAAATTTTGCTGTGGACTATATTCTATTTAGTTTTTAGAATCACATAAGTCCTTTATTTTAAATCTTTTTTTTTTTTTGTAATGTGCAGAGTAAGTATTTAAACTTAGTATGTTGCTGGATCTTGTTTAAGATCTGTTTATGTTTCTCAGTATAGACATAGCAATATTTTTCACAATATATTGTTTGAAAATAATGATAAAGTAAATGCCCCCCCAAATAAAGTAAATATAATTGTATGGTTCACATTTTTTAAAATAAAAGCAGAAAATTAGATTGCTAGACTTTGAGTAGAATGAATAAGTTTTTGTCTGAGACTTGCCTGTGAAGCCTTTCTGACTCCTGAACCAGTTTTTCACAGCCAAAGTAAACAGAGATGGAACAATTAATGATTTAATAGATTTTAGTCTCTATTTTATATACTTTATTCCTATTAGAATACAGGATTCTAAAGAATACATGTAACTTGTTTTAATTATTATTTTTGCAGAAGTCATTTGCATGTGAAACTTAAAATCATTTAAATAATACTCTAGCAAGTTTTATTTGCACTTTATTTTGCCTAGCAATTATTTCTTTTCTTAATATATTTTTTTTGTTGTAGTTGGATACAGTACCTTTATTTTATTGATTTATATGCGGTGCTGAGGATTGAACCTAGGGCTCCTCATGTGCCAGGCAAGCACTCTACTGCTGAGCCACAACCTCAGCCCCTAGCAATTATTTCTTAATATATAGTCTGAAATTAAATCAAGGCAGACTTGAAATTACTGAGTCTTCCTTATTGGGCCAAATTAATGAGGTCTTCCTAGACTTTTCCTTCTGGTATCTTGTTGTGGCTAATGATGTAATCTTATTTGTTTTCTAAAATATTCAAGTTTTAGGTTTTTGAATCTTTTCTGTGGAAGTACAGGAATTTGTTTATACAGTGCCTTTCATTTTACTGATGAGTTAATTTCTTTAATTTTGTGCCCTAAAACCTACTAAAAATATTCCTGGAAAGTGAGGGATTAAACAGAAGTTGTAATAAAAATGATGCCTTTTTCTTTATTTCTCCTGTTAGCTGCATTTGTTAAAATTTTTATACTACATTTAAATAAAAATTAAGAATTTTGGGGCTGGGGAAGTGGCTCAAGCGATAGCGCGCTCGCCTGGCATGCGTGTGGCCGGGGTTCGATCCTCAGCACCACATACCAACAAAGATGTTGTGTCCACCAAATACTAAAAAAAATAAACATTAAAATTTTCTCTCTCTCTCCCTCTTTCTTTTTTTTTTTTAATTTTTTTAAGAGAGAGTGAGAGAGAGAGAGAGATAGAGAGAGAGAGAATTTTTAATATTTATTTTCAGTTCTCGCGGCCACAACATCTTTGTATGTGGTGCTGAAGATCGAACCCGGGCCGCACGTATGCCAGGCGAGCGCGCTACCGCTTGAGCCACATCCCCAGCCCTCACTCTTTCTTTAAAAAGAAAAAAAAAAAAAGAATTTATTACAGGGATGGGATTATGGATCAGTGTAGAGCACCTGCCTGGCATGTGTGAGGCACTGGGTTTGATCATCAGCACCACAATAAATAAATAAATAAATAAACAAACAAATAAATAAGGCAATTATGTCCATCTACAACTACCCCTCCCCCCCCAAAAAATACTTTATTACATATTAAATGGGTTGGATGTTCTATATTTGAAACAGTTTCTTTCTATATTAGGCATAAAGTTTAATTTAGACTGGCAGAGTAAGTGATCATTTGATTGGAAAGTTGGGTAGACAGTCTTTGGTTAGTTTCATTCTATAATCTTCCAGCTAATTGTTGAATTGCATGCTCTTTTGTTCTTTGCTCTTTCTACTTTGGATCTGGTTTTATGGTTGGCTGAAATAGGAATTTATTGGTAGGAACATAGATTATTTTCA